CAAAGATATGAGTAACCAAAGCCCTTTTACACTGTGGAACGAGTGTTATTAATTATCAATCAATTGGTGCAAAAATACACGAATATCTAAGTGCATTCGTTTCATTTTGCTACACTATTCTACTAGGAAAATGTTGGAATGACGGTTACGGTGGACAGGCAGCTACTTCGGGGAGAATCCAGAGACAGACGGTTGAAGCCCGTGCTTCCTGTTATTCTCTTCTTCCGGGAAAATTTTGCTTTTTTCAAGCGAGAACAACGTTGGGATTTGTCTTTTTTCCCCGCTAGCTGTGGTTCCGTCTATGGCAGGGCTTCCCAACCATTTCCACACATGTCCCAAAAAATTACGATCGTGCAATTCGGGACCCAAAGCACCGGCTGAAGCTCGACTGGCTCTCCCACCTATGCAATAATCTCGCAAAGAAAATCATAATTTGACATAAAACATAACTTGGAAAAACATAACTTAGTTTCCTAGTTTCCGGATAACGACCCCAAAATACGATCTCGGGGACCCCGAATTGGATCGTGACCCGTGGGTTGGGTAGCCCTGGTCTATGGACTTTTCTGCGACACCCTTAGTATTGAAACTCGCCCTCACGCAAGTGAAAACACGGAACAACCTTCCCAGAAAGCTATCTGGTTCGACATTAATGTCGAGCCAGATAGCTTTCTGGGAAGGTTGGGAATTGGGAGTAGAAGCGCGTGGTCTGCGAACTACGGCCATGACAAGCTGCGGAATACTGCGCTCCGGTCGGGGCACAATCTTCACAAGTTAGACTCATAGATCTGCAGCTGAACGCAACAATGCGCGCTATCTCTCGAGTGCTTGGATCCACGCCTGTGCAATGGTTCTAATCGTTACGTCACGCAGCCCCGCCAGAGTTGCGCCGTGGGTTTGCCGTCTCAAAGATGCGAATGCCAATCCTGCCTTGCCTCTCCACTCCGACCTCTTTGACTCCGACCACGCCCATCGCCTCCCGTTCCGGAACCCACTCTGGGCCATTTTACCACCAGGCCAAGCCGTGCCAGTGGAGCAGCGCTGGCGCGAGTTTCCCAAGTCGACGGCGACTAATCACCAGGTGGTCGACGACCACGAGGTGGTCAAACCACCAGGTGTCCACCATCCACGGACACCGTGGACCCTTCTGAGTCGCGTCCGGTCATGGGCGTTGCGCGGCGAATGACCACCGAGGGGGACTGCGTGCTTGCCCTGTGTGCGATTGCGGTGATCCCCAATCTTGCACATGGTAGAAAGACTTGCCTCCTTGGTGGCCTCCGCACTCTGAACACCGCTGGTGCTGAGGGTGAGTTTTCTTTTGGCTTCTCTTCTTCGCCATACCCGGCAACGCCACCACTCACGGCCATTTTCATCGCCTCACTTGCATTAATGTCTAAGGATTTTATGTCGGCAATGGGTACAAAATAAACAAATCCACTNGGGAACATATTTTCAAATAGTTCTCTTTGCTTCAATCAAACGGAGAGACATGGAAATCTGAAACCTGGGAAGAACGTGACTGCTGGCGCACTGAGCCCAAGAAAAATGTCAAATTTCCAAAATATTTTTTTGGGGGGGGCATATTTCTTAGGGACGTAACGTTTTCAAAGAATTTTTCATGCTCTAGCGAATCGGGCAGAAATGGAAAAGTGCTTCATGGAATCCGCCACAGGCGCTGCTGGTGATTCCAAAAGGCAAGTCTGAGCAATGATTCAAGCTGCTGAAGAAACTTTGAAAAATTTGTGTAGATGCCGAGGAGAACTACTTTTAAAGATATACCCATCAGTAGTCAGAAAGAGGCACTACAGCGTCAAGAAAAATTCAGTCTTGTAAATTTTTAAAAATGATTTGTGGTGTACCAGTACAGTTAAAAGAGACAATTAAAATGAGTCCGAAATGAGCCTGTTATGGAATATAGGCAAGAATTTATTCAATAAAAATTTATGGAAGTCAGCCTGGCCTAAAATAATTTTTCCAAATGTTGTGATCTCGCCATGAAAAAACTTTTGGTGAGAATGAAAAGATTTTTTATTTCATGTTTTTAGGTCAAATGCTAATTTCAAACCAAATTTCCATGAAATCTTCGATGGTCGATCAAGAAATCATGAGAAAGTTGGGTGATCTGACATGGAAATAACCTAAATGCTTTCATGACGCCATGTATGTGTGACAAATGACATTATAAAAAGTCATTTTTTCTATCTGGATGAAACTCTTAACATCGAACATTTCGAATGATGCCATTTCCGATACATAACATTAGTGAGTGACATTTCAATCGGTGTACATTTCTTTTTCAGAATTACTGGCTATGGCAGGGAGCAAAGACCTGAAGCCCAAGGCTTTTTTCATTGAGTAGCATGACGATTTCGTCAAAGAACTGAATCTTGGGGATATCATATTCAGACCCTTCTTTGGTGGCCTCCTGCAACATGCTGGTATTTATTGTGGATCAAGAAAAGATATTCATCCGGTGGTGAAGAAGTATCTAAAATCTGAACTGAATATCGCTTGCCCAGAATGCGGGCAAGACCTTGTATTCCTGGACTGTGGACATGATGTACATCTCGTAGCAGAACTCAGTTCTTCTAAGACTGATGAAGCCGAAAAGAGTGTGAAAGGTTCTGTTGCTGCCAAGGGGACCGAAGGATCAACATTCCGCACGATGTAATCTTAAAAGGCTTCATGAGAGACATGGGTGCCTATAAGTTCAACTTCGTCGATGAAGATTTGGAGCCTCTGCCTAAAAAAAGCTTCATTAATATTTCATGCGAAGGGACTTTGTGGCCACCCTGTACAGTCCTAAGATGGTTGCCGCGCCTGGAAGGGTGCAGCGCCTTGCGCCATAGGGGAGGCAGCGCCTGCATTTATACACTCTATGCCTCTTCCCGATTGCCAGTCCCCTACCCAGGTCACGTCATGCTTATACCGTATAAACCAAGGTTGTCAAATGAGGTAATTTTGGGCAAGGGCATCACTGTGAGTGGTGGCAGGTGATAAGGGGGCTCACTCAGCATGGGTTCTTCTTTAATTGGGGGAGGGGGGGAAGTAACCCTGTCCTAACAAAAGATCGGTTGGGTTGGGGTTGACTGGGATGTGCCCGTTATGCCCCTTAGGCGTACCAGCTGAAGTGGTCAAATTGTCGGTCACTGGACCACAGTGGCAACATACAGACCCTGGTCACACAGTCCAACATCGCCCTACTCCCATAATACTGTCCATAACAGTTTTTGCTCATTTGCCGGCTTTAAGGTGTCTTTGTGGGCCATATTACAATTTGAAGGAACACAACTCATTTCTGAAGTCTAAATCTTCTGAAATATGCATGCATGCATGCGTTAAAGATACTGACTAAATTATTGCTTTTGGAAATCCATTACCATGTTGAATATTGATATTTAATTGCTTAATACAAGCATATAATAGAAATAGCGATGTTTAGGAGTCAAATGTGAGATATGCCTAGGTCTGGTTGTTTAACCAAGATCCCATCGCTGTAATTTCAGTCATACCTTTCGTTTCGGTATTTGCAGAATTCAAAAGTTCAAGAAAACACAGAAATGAAAAGTAAAAGTAACATCACGAGTAATATATCAATAGAACGCGCTTGGATAGAGCTTTCATATGACACTAGTTACAGGTTTATATCACGTTTAAAACAAAGCACGGACCGTCAAATTTGGTGAGAAAGGCAGTTTTGTACTTTTCAAACTTAATTTTACGTTGTTTCAAAAAACGTAGGAAATTGAAATTTAGTTCTTGAATTGCAATTGCCTTTGTCTACAATGTTGCGAAAGGTCGAGGTTTTACCATGCATCCTAGTGCTAATAATTTGCGTGGAAAATTCTGCAATATTTACTATTTTTGGAAATTGTGTAACTCAATTTTTCATTAACGCATGAGAAAATGCATTTCATAATGCGATTCTCCATTGTCTCAGCTTTACTTAGAGTTCAAAAACACGTTTCTAGCTCGACTAGGACCAAAGATAGTGCTTTAACCCTAAAGGCCACTTTTCCTCTTGGGGGTGAAGTTTGGGGACGCATATCTCGAGATCCGTTAGAACTAGAGAGCCAAATTTCTGGATTTTTTCACAAGTCTTGATTGCCAACATGCAATACTTTTTTCAAACAAATCGGAGTCTGAAGCACAACCACCCCTTGATCACTTGAGCTGGACCTTATAGGCCTAATTCGTCCGTGGGTCGAAGAAAGTTTCAAAGAAAGAAAAGAAGTTTATTTTGAACGAAAAAAGGTGGGCCTAGGCCTAACGCTTGTGAGTTCCGTAAGGAAGGTGAGGTTGGGGTTGGGGTTGAAGAAAGGGAGAACCTTTGAGAATTGATTTACACATTACTACATATGTATTGCTTTTTTATCGACTGTGTGGCGCCCGTCCATGAGAAAATGCGTCGTAGTTGCCTTAGGTGAGGAAAATGCACGTGACGAGCCGAAATTCCGCAATTGAGGAAAGATCCTGCACGGTGGGAAAATCAGCTTTGCGTGTGAAATTTTCAATCTGTGCATTTTCAATCTGTGTCGTGGCAATTACTGGGACTTGGGTCTATCAGAGTTCCAGTATTAAGAATATTGGTGAATCCCTACCTACTTGCCAAAGGAGACCTTTGGAGAAGGAAAGGCCAAAGGAAATGCAAATGAGGATTTGTTTTTTTTTGTAATCAGCATCCACGCAAGACTCGTCCAGGCCAGTTACGGACTCACCATCCCTACAGCGTCTCTGCCTCTGGAATAGCCTTCGGTCTGCGTATCCCACCCACCCGGCTTCAAAAGTAAAAGTCATCATTGATCGTTGACAGGCTAGGACTGCATATGCACACTTCGGTTGCAATGGAAACTGCGGACAGAAGAAATGAGAGGTTGGAAACGACGAAGAGGAATTACTGGTCTCTGTTTACGTTCACTTTGGGTCAGCTCGGCATGAGGGTTGCCATGCAATCGGTCGCCTTCCCATGCATGGACGACACGTGATTCACAACGGAGAACCGGGAGATCTTTCCTCGTTTTATTTTCGTATTTTATCGGAAAAAAAAACACCTGCGAACTTTCCGCTTGCTCCACCGAATATATAAGAAGAATCGAGAGGTGACTCGAATAGTGACGGAAAGATGGGAGCTCTAGCGGGCGTTACCTGGCTGTTTCTTTTTGCTTTCTTGCGTTGGCCGCGCGTGGAAGGCGAGTGCAACTCCACATTGAATGGATCTGGATACATCTACTCCCCCAATTACCCCGACAACTACAACAACGATGATTACTGCTGGTACCGAATTGAAGTTCCAGAAGAAGGTTACACTTCCATCGACTTTCGGGATTTCGATCTCGAGTGGAGTACGACTTGCCAATTTGACAGTCTTGCTATAGCGAAATATTCAAACAGGCAAACGGAGGTCAGATGTGGAAGATTTGACTATTTATATGAAGGCAGCGAAACATCTTTCTATGAAATCAATTTTAAGACAGACGGATCCGTCACCTCCAAGTGAGTTTGTCTCGGTTATGCATCAAATAACAGCGTCTATTCAGCCGCCACGGTGAGTCCGAACCCGATATTCCACCGAAATCATTGGTTCCCTTGGCCATTTTTTGCGACGTCAGAGGGTTCTTCGCCGAGGTCTTGACCATGATGCCGCTGAAATGCGACAAAGGCTGGACGGAGTTCCAGCTCGGATGCTACCGGTTCGTGGACGAGAGGAAAACCGCACTGGAAGCGCAATCGGCATGCGAGGACGTCGGGGCCGACCTTGCCAGCATCCACGGCGACAAGGAGTTCCAGTTCATTTGTGAGTGAGAACCCCGATTCGGATAAGGGAATTGGCGACCGAGAAGATTTTCGCTGCCTCGAATGAATGTGGTAGTTATTACCCACTTCCATCACCCAGTTGGCCCATTTTCGCTGAAGCGATGCTTCGAGTGGGATTTTCATTTTAGGAGGCAACCACAATTCCGTCTTTCCGTGTTCCCCAAAGCCTTAACATTTTCAGATATGCGGCCGTGAATGATCGATTATTTAACGAAGTCCTTTGTGATAGACTACGTAGAGTTGAGCCTTCTATACATGTATTTTTTTCATATGATATAGTTTCTCTCAGGGACTAGTTCGATTTTAATTTGACAGTTTTCAAAATGTTTGCATCCATATCAGGTAATTTTTATTCCCCGGATGAATAATCAGAACATAATGCCTACAAGCGGAAAATTTAGCAGTAAATGAGAAGTGCGAATAACTGCAACGTCACCATAACTTTTCAGAAGCATCAAAATCAACATTCACAATCAAAATATCCCCCAGGCGATGCTTGTCCTATTGCGAGACACCAGATATATTATTCCAATTTAAAGTGGAGTAGAAGGCTTGCTGGAAATTTTCCAAAATCCGACTGAAATTCGTTGTGTGGGTCACCAATTGAGTGAGTGAGTGAGTGCAAGAAGCCTCCGATCATCTCACAGATTATTCCGGTCCTTAGGGGAACATGCTTCGTCGTCGCCTCTGTGGATCGGGCTCCGTGCACAGGACTCACGACGGAAATGGATCGACGGAACCTCCTACGACTACAAGATCTCCAACCTCGACTTCAGTCCTGACGACGGATTCGCTTACATCTGGACAGATGAGTGGGTGAAGGAGAACTGCGCGAGCACTAAACAAGGTCCTCCTCGCGAGAGGAAAGACTGCGTCTACGCTTCCCTCCATTCCAAGGGAGGCCTTCCCGACGAGGTACGATTTCCGTTCGTGTGCAAGAAAGACCGTCCGACAACTATCTTTAAAGGGGATTGAGATAGAGGGTGGTTTGGCAATCACAGAAGTGTCTGAGTCATCTTTAAAAGCTTCAATAAAGATGATAAGGAAAGAAAGTCCTTGTTTTTTCCTTCTTTATATTTGTTTCAACTAATTGAAACCCAGATTCTCCGGGTCATTATTGTACACCCAGAGCACTGTACGTGTATATACCAGTGGTTCTCAACCGGTCGGTCGCGACCCACTTTTGGGTGGCGATGGTGTTCCAAGTGGTTCAACGTTGTCAGCGTTAATTGGGCAGTTTGGGGGCGGGCGTTGTCATGCACAAAACAACCTTCCTGCTGAAAAGTCCTGGACGCTCTGACTTTATTGCCTGTCTTGAACAGCCCAAAGTTTCGCAATATCGTTGCGAATTGATGGTGTCACCTCGGTCCAGGAACTCAATCAATGGCGGACCCTGATAGTCAATCGTCAGCATACCTTTTCCTGCGCTGGGCATTGACCGTGACTTCCTGGGTGGTGGGGAGGATGGACGCTTCCATTGCATGCACATTTGCTTTGTTTCTGGACTTAAATGGTGACGCCATGTTTTGTTGCGTGACAACGCCCGCTCATTTGACGGAACCCTGGCTACGCCCCTGGGTATGAAGATCCACATGGACGAAGAGAGGCAAAGGGAAAGTCATTTAATGTGTCTAGTCGACAGTGGAAAAGCCTGCCATTACAATGAAACTGACTTAGTTCAGTATTAGTTCATTGTGGGCGTTCCTGACGTGTCCGCAATCACAGAAGTGTCTGAGTCATCTTTAAAAGCTTCAATAAAGATGATAAGGAAAGAAAGTCCTTGTTTTTTCCTTCTTTATATTTGTTTCAACTAATTGAAACCCAGATTCTCCGGGTCATTATAGGGGGGGGGGGGGGGGGGGGGGGGTGGGGGGGGGGGAGGGGGGGCTGTTGTCCCGGGCTCTACTCTTCCAGGGTGGCCCCGAAGGAAACTAAAAATGTTAAGTACAGTATTTCGTTAAAGTAGCGGAGGGAGCCCCAGGAATTCACTTTCCCGTGCCTCGCAACTTCTTAATCCGGCCTTGGTAAGAACTGAATGAGTCCTGAGTCTCGAGCCGTCGAAGACATTCTCCTCCTTCAGGGTAGGAGGAGGTCTCTTGGAGGTGGAAGATGGAGGGGAGGAGGTGACTCCTCCTCCCTCTCATCCTCTGGTCTCCGTCCAAAGTCCATTTATAACGTACTAGGCTGGGCAACGAATGCGTGTTTGTGTGTGTGTGACAGCTCTATAAGCTAAACGCTCCGAGGTATGAACTAGGGATTTTCACGCAAATTTTCCTTATTATCCGTGGATGTGTCTTGGTGATTGAAAATTTAAGATTGGCCACACGAAAGGGGGTAACCTTTCACAGAACGGAGTTTCGTTCACGTCTCCCCATCTACAGGATGGATGAGGAAACGAGAGTTGCCGCGGTCCTCTTCTGGGGACGGTGGCATCGTTCACTACAGTGCCTCTCCATGCTGCCGTGAATTGAGGGATTTCAAGCGTCCGAGATGAAATGTAGGACGATTCATGAGTTCGTCGCCACTTGCACTCATATGGGCTTCGCAAGGAAAGTCATCACCGCAGTTTCCTCGTGTGGTTTCCAGCGCTCAAAATGAAAATTCCAGAATGGCAGACTCTTTCGTCATTGCGTGCATGGCCTTCACTCTTTAGAAAACATTCACGAATGACATGAGGAAGCCGACGAGTGCAAAAGTTCTTCGCGCTTCATTCTCGTCCTGTAAGATGGAGGTGGGGTGAGCGTATCATCTTAATTTAAACCTGAGAACCGACGTTGCGAAGCATCCGAAGCTCTCTGGATGAACACATCGTGCGCGATGTGTGTGTGTGTATGTGTGTGTATGTGTGTGTGTGTGTATGTGTGTGTATGTGTGTGTGTGGATGTGTGCGTGTGTGCGTGACAGATCTTCAGGCCAAACGCTTGAATATATGAACTGGGGGGTTAGAACAATAATGTTGCCAACCGAGGATATGCTTTTGCAAAATGGAATTTAGTGAGCGATGCCATCTTCCAAACGACACAGGAAAGAGGTAGAATCTTGGTTTGAGGCGCGGCCGTTCCGTTTCTAGATAGGTGCAGTTCTAAATTGGAATATGCATATTAGGAGGAAAAAATTAATTTGGGGAACGAACTACTGATGATATTGGTAGGATAGAGTAGGCCTCTTAAAATAAATATCATTCATTAATTATAAAATTGAAGGAACCCCTGTAATATTGATTCAAGCGAAGGGCAAGCAAATGCCGTATATTGAAACGATCTGGCTTGAAAAAGTTCCTGTTAATCAAGGACGTCGTAAGCATCAACTTGCTGGACGATCGGATCTTTATAGACCCATTGCCGAATCCCCATACTAAAGTTGCGGAAGGAAAGGTAGAGCATCCTGAAGAGGATGACCTTCGTCACGAGCAACATGCTTCCGGTGAAGATGATGATCTTGAAGATGATGCTTCACGAGTTCAAGGACTCGTAGGCGTCGTAGAACAAGTACATGACGTATCCGAGAGGAAGAAGACCCAATACCGTATACATGAGACACAGTTTTGGATTTTCGTATCGGACTGCGAGATACCCCAAGAAACGCATCCCGATGCTGAAAACGCAGCCGACTGCGAGCACCAGCACCTCCTTCCGGTCGAAGTCCAAAATCCCATCGCGCATGATCATGACCTCCAGGGAAAGTTCCACCAAGAGGTCGAACCACAGCAGCGACTGGAAAGCAAATAAGACGTTGAGCGCCCGCTTGCGTCTCGGCTCCGGCCCGACCAGGTCGTAGACGAACTTCTGCGAGTCCCAGTACCTGTAGGCGTAGTAGAACCCGACGGGGACGAGATAGGCCGAGAGGCAGGATGTCACCACCAGCCGCACCAGCTTCAGGGTCTCGTCGTTCGTTGGGACTTCCCCTTGGCTACTGCTCACGTAGTTCATGATCACGTACACTAGCACCACGATTGTGGCCACGATATAAACCAACATCGAAAATGGCGGTTCCTTCCACACACCATAAACGAGAAAAAAGGCACAGAAAAGCATGCTCATGAGCATTATGATGGCAAACGGATAGTGGTCGCTATTCTTCTCTAACGTCACAAATCGCATGACGGTTAGCACCAAGGAAAAAATCGTCCCTCCAACTGCCACCACCTGGTAGACCCACTCCCCCTTCGTGATCTGATTGCATGACCGTATGACCCCGAGCAAGGGAGTCCGATGGATCTTCACCGGGTTGGGCAGTCCGAATTCGGTGCGCTGCTCCGAAAGACTACTCCCTCGGTCAGCGCCCTGGCCGGAAACTGATTGCACAGCACTTGCTTCTATCGATGCCATCACGTTTCGAATCTTGGTGAGAAGAAATGCAGCTAATTCCCAGTTAGGTCCATCTCAGTTCTAGAAGAGAAGGGGTAATGTGATACTCAATTTCTGGACTCTAGGAAACATTTGAGAAGCTAGTTACACTATCACCTTTCAAAAATATAATTGCGTATTCTCTGCAGGTCTTGTGCAATGTTTTCTCATGTTATGCAAAAGCATATGAAAACAAGAAATGGTGACAAAATCCCATAATTAAGGTTCTACAAGCTGATTGCAACTGGGGAGAGATATTAACTAAACCAGAGATGCTCACATGTTGAAAAGAGAAGAAACAAATCTTAAAGCAAAGGGTTTTTGAGCTTTGTAGTTCCCCTGAGGCATGGACGATTCATGAAGATCCCGAGAATTTTTCGCTTCAAATATAATCCCAAGCACGAGCCACAATTTAATGTGAAAATTCAAAGTCGTACAGAGAAGCTAATAAAGTTGATACGTGCAACCCAATTACTCTCCGTGGATCGAACACCTGACAACATGCTGAAATTGCCTCTAGAGATCTTCGCACTGCCTCCCAGTTAGACCCTCAACAACCGTCCCGTTGGGAAGCGGCTTAAGGGAAGAAGGAAAGGTAACTGGCGCCTTCCATGGCGCCGCCCTTCTCCTTAATTTTTCGGCATTTAGCAAGTTTTCTCCGAATTCCTTCATCTCACAATATCCAAACTTTGTTTGATTTTTCAGCACATCTTTAGGAGTTTTCATCCACGTTTCATCTGCAAAACCGTCAAGGTACCCGTTTCGGATGATTAGTATGACCCCATAGCGGGTAATGAAATTTGATTAATTAGAATCTTTTCTCCATTAATATTCATCCCACACACTTTAAATTCTAAACAATTTCATAGTATGCTAGTATAAGCTTGAGTACCAAATTTCGTCAAGATCGCTGAAATCCTACATGGTCGTGCATTTTTTGCCAATGAGTTTATTATAAATCTCTGTGAACCGAGGAGTACACGTAAAAAAGCTTACTATGCGAATGACAACTCAAGGTGGAGTAAAACATATATAATAAGTTCAGTTTCAGTGTTTCGTCATGAAGTATTGTACCCCCGCAGGTGACATCAGCACCCTCTGACGAGTTTATCGCCAACTGTAGTCTTTTCCATATTTTCTGATGACGAGACGAAAGGAAATCTCTCTTGATGTTATCAGGTGCAGTCCATCCGGCCCCACATTTTCCCCCTATTAATCATCAAAGGCAGCGGTTACTTTTTACTCATGCGGCAAGGCGGGCAGAGTAGCAGAAAGGATGGTAGAAGGAATGGCGGTATGGGGAGAAGCTTATCAGGGGCGAAAAAAAAGAATCCCCCAGAGAAGGCTTTGGGCATTTGCAAGTGCTGCCAGGGAGGATGGGGACCCACTTGCCCTCCTCCCGCCCCAAAACACAGCACTTCTCAAAGGGGTAATTCAAAATCACCTATCTTCCTCCCCGGGGGCAGCTTTCCCCTGAAACTGCCAATAGCTCACGTGCATCTCATCGGATGGATGTTTGGAACGGTTCCGTTGGAGAGTGCCATAGTCTTCCTGCGATATCATCGATGGGCAGTCGTCGGTGCAACATCACAGCATCTGCCACACGTTCGACGTTCTCGTCGGAACTCTAAGTCTTCCAGAAACGGGGCTCGTCCTCCCTTGAAACTATTCTGGCTGGAAGTGGGACGGAGTTACCGGCCAGGCTGGAATCCTCGCGCGCTACTCTTTTTTCTTTGACGCCGGTGAATGGGAAATCTTCTCCAGGGCTTTAATTTTAGATAGTGGAATTTATGCTTTAAGCTAGACTAGAAAAATACCCTTCAAGAACTTGCGACCAAAATCGTGTCATCGCAATCGCGGCAGCGAAACGATTGAGGTCAGAGGACAAATGTCTAAAGACAATGGCAATCACCGATTGTAATTTATACAGTAAATTGTTGTTAGAATAAAATACATTGTTGATAGAAACTAGTTACACGGACTTTCTGGCTGCCATTTTAATTTTGTAGAAGATGGCGAGGCAAGAGGAAATCTCCGTTCCCGGACTTCACTCCATCGTTATCGGGAACTTTCTGTATCAGTCCGCCTTGATAAGCTCATACCCCATTTCATGTAGGTGCCGTTAAGTTTTCCCACAATGGAATCCTCATGGAAGCTGCCCTATTAGTCATAATCTTACTGCCCCTTTCAAAGAGCCAAGCGAACAAGGCTCTTAACTCCCCAAACGGCGCAATGAACGAACTGGGAAAGGGGCCAAGGCCATATCAAAACTTGAAGACAGAATTCCCCTGGACCCAGATGGGAAACTTCATCCCCTTCTGAGGATTCTCGACGGCTCCTTCCCAAGTCACTGCCACAGGTGCGTGCCAGAGCATTCGTTCCAAGGCATATAAAGAGATGGCATCTCTCTTATTCTGAATATTGTACTTCATTGATTATCGCTGTTAGAAAGGCCTCGCTGAATTTGAAAACTTGATCCGTCACGTAGGGCAATAATAAACGTTTTTTTCGCCTTGTAGGAAACGCCCTCATTGTCTTAGAGAAACAGTCACGATCAGTCGGGTGATAGCACGAGAATTAAGCTTCAAATTGAGACACAATTCGCAAATCAGAGAGTTCGACTTTCGACTCGGACCGATTCATGTTGTTCCACGTAGAGCCTTGCGGACCGACAAAAAGAGGCAGACTCACTTCCAGCATGCGTCGTTATATCAGCGGAAACGAGAGCGAAACGGACTGCACACAAACGGTTCCAGCCGTCGCGAACGCAATCAGGAGCCTGCCGAGATTCACTCTGGCTCCTGTGAAGGCAGCGACGGGGAGGGGGAGGGGGGATAGAGGTGTGAGCGGGGCGGCGGCATTGCGGTCTCTCTGTCGCTCATGTTCATATAGACGGAGTCTATCTCGATATTATTTTGAAATAAATAATATCTATAATCATTGGGCACCGGTGAGAGTTATGATGAGTTTGCTTGCCATGAGGATGTATCAACTGGTTATTATGAAATAACGAAAATGCAGTGATGAGAGATGAAGCAGCGTTAATTTCCTTAAAAGCTTGGTTAAATAGAGGCAGAAATAGAATATTTCACGAAACGGGACACCGGTTAGATTGTGCATGCATCTTAAAAGCAACAATACTCAATGAAAATCGGATTGGAGGACTCCCTGCAATAACGACTCAAGAGCTTGGTGGGCATATGCCATCTACTGAAACCACCAGGTTGTTGAAGTTGCACCAAGCCTCACTCTCCGTCCTTAAACTCGACGACGCCTTTAACATTGGTTTGGCGAACGACCGGATCTCCATAGACCCATTGCAGAATCCCCATCCCAAAGTTCCGGTAGGAAAGGAAGACCATCCAAAGGAGGATGACCTTCATGACGAGCATCACGCTTCCGGTGAAGAGGATCGTCTTGTAGATGGTGCTTGACGGGTCCAAGGTCTCGTAGGCGTCGTAGAACAAGGAAATGACGTAACCAAGAGGAAGAAGACCCAATACCGCATACACGAGACACAATTTCGGATTTTCGTATCGGACTGCGAGATACCCCAATAAACGCATCCCGATGCTGAGAACACAGCCAACGGCGAGTACCAGCACCTCCTTGTGGTCTAAGCCTAAAATCCCATGGCGCATGATCATGACCTCCAGGGAAAGTTCCACCAAGAGGTCGAACCACAGCAGCGACTGGAAGGCAAAAAAGACGTTGAGCGCCCGCATGCGTCTCGGCTCCGGCCCGACCAGGTCGTAGATGAACTTCTGCGAGTCCCAGTACCTGTAGGCATAGTAGAACCCGACGGGGATGAGATAGGCCGAGAGGCAGGATGTCACCACCAGCCGCAACAGCTTCGGTGTCCCTTCGATCGTCTGGACCTCCCGTTGGTTACTGCTCACGAAGTTCATGATCACATACACCAGCACCACGATTGTGGCCACGATGTAGACCAACAACGAGAAGGGCTGTTCCCTCCACACTCCATAAACGACGAAAAAGGCACAGAACAGCGTGCTGATGAACATGATGATCGCAAACGGATAGTCGTCGCTACTCTTCTCCAACGTCACAAATCGCATAATGGTAAGCACCAAGGAAAAAATCGTCCCTCCAACACGACGAAAAAGGCACAGAACAGCGTGCTGATGAACATGATGATCGCAAACGGATAGTCGTCGCTACTCTTCTCCAACGTCACAAATCGCATAATGGTAAGCACCAAGGAAAAAATCGTCCCTCCAACCGCCACCACCAAGTAGACCCACTCCCCCTTCGCAACTTGATTGTAGGACCGTATGACCCCGAGCAAGGGAGACCGCTGGATCTTACTCGGACTGGGCAGTCCGAACTTGGCCCGCTGCTCCGAGAGTCTCTTCTCTTGGCCCTCGCCCTGGCCAGTATCTGATTCCTCTGCAATTGCTTCCATTCGTGCCTTTGCTTCTTGAGTCTTGGTGAAATGAAATGCAGAAAATTTCCCAGTGGGGTCCATCTCAGCTCTAGAAGATAAGTGAGCATGTGAGACTCAGGTTCTGAATAGTGGCAAACATTAGAGAAACCGCTCATGAATTAAATAATTGCATTTTATTTACGACATTCTTCTGTTCAGTAAAGGTATTACTCACTCATGTTATATGAAAGAATGCAAAAAAATTACAATCACGGCAATGTTATCATTCAGGCTCTTCCAGCCAATCACATCTGTGGCGGGATATTTAACTAAACGAAATATGCTCACATATTGATGTAGAAAAGGAAAATCTAGGAGCATTGGATTTAATTTCTTTATTATCTTTTTCTACAGCATGGAGATTTAATGAAGCCCTTGAACATTTTTTAATTCTGAGAAAGAGCCACAAGATAATGTTTAAATTCAGCGTTGTAGATAATAATTTAGCCGCCTTGTGTTATAGTGTTACTCTCCCCTGAAAAAAAAATTATAATAAATACAGTGATGTTATTTCTTTGTACTTGATCATGCCACTCTATGCAACATGAAAAAAAACTGACTCTGTTAGGCATTGAATCCATGATGTTTCGTGTGAAGATATGGTATCTGAGAGTAACAGCAGGAATTCCTTTTTTCTTTTTTTTTTCTTCAAGAAATTCAATTTTGTTATTTCTTGTATCTCATTCCTTACGAAAAGGGTTCGATTTCAAAAACTGTGCTAAGCGCATCGGAACAGGTTATGCCATTGTAATTACAAGCGCCGGTGGGCGGGAGCCTTCAAGAGGGATCGTAGCACTTCATAAAGCTCCAGATTGCGATAAACGACTTGAAGTAAAGAGCAGAACATAGAAAAAGTCCAGTTTCGGTTTCTTCGCAAAGTATTTTAGCCCTGCGTGTGACATCTCCACCATCTGACGTGTTTCTCGTCAACTGTAGTCTTCTAATATTTCAAGAAGATGGCGCGACGAAAGCAAATCTCATTCATGTTATCAGCTGCAGTCTAATGCGACCCAACATGTTTGCACTGTCAATCCTCACAGGCAATGGTGTCTCTTTGGTCATGAGGCAGGGGAAGCAGCAGAAAGGATAGTATTCAGGGGGTGGGGGGCAGGGGGCTTGGGTGGGGGGGCGAGAAGGTTTCCAGGGACGAAGAAGAATCCCCCAGAGGAGGCGCTAAGCTTTTTGAAGGGCTGCCGGGGAGGGTGGAGAAGCAGCGGCTCCCCTTGCCTCCCTCCCGGCCCCCAAAATAAAGCACTGCTCAAAGGAGTCATTAAAATTCGCCTGTCTTCCTCTCCGATGAGGAAAGGGATGGAGGCAGGTTCATCCCCGTGCCCGAGACCCAAGGCATCACGTACTCTCGGTAATCCGAACTTCTTTCATTTTCATTTCTCTCCATTTTCGCCTTTCCCGGGGAAATCGAAATAAGGACGATGCAGATTTCAATTCTTCGAACTTCGCTCGGCAAATTCCTCAAGAACTCTAAATTTATTGCACTTCTTTTTTTTATTTTTCCTGTACGCAGAAGAAATTTCCATCAACTTTAATCTCTTATTCCGTAATAGCCCTTCCCGCTAATCCCAAGAAAATGCCCCGATCCATCGCTTTCCCCTCCGACGACTCGGCAAAGTCGAGGCCGACTTTGTATATATATATATATATATATACATACTACGACTATACTGGGGGTGAGGTAAAATGAAACGAGTCGCTTTTTGCTCGTTCGTATCTAGCCGTTTAACCCCAATAGTCGTTTTAAAAATGCAACAGGAAATTTCTTGTTGCTTTCACGGATCATTTCGGAATCCGCTGAGCAGATTTGCCTTAACGCCTGTCGATTTGCAGTCGGGAATTTTGCATGCCAAGATTATCATCTCGGGAAACAATGGCCTCCTTCAGTGTCAACTGTAATTCCGCTCCTTCTCTTTCCCTCAGATGAACCGGTTTCTCCCGGCTTGTAAATCGACCTTCTTTTCTTTTAATAATTCTTTTAATAATTTTTTAAATAATTCTTTTAATAATTCTTTTAATAATTCTTTTAATAATTCTTTTAATAATTCTGTGCTGCCCCATACTTTCGCGAAGAGCAGACCAATTACTCTTGCGCCGATACGCTTCCTCCCGCAAATGCAAAACTCAAGTTGCCCCCGCGTTTTCACTCCAGTGCTAAAACGGCTTTTGTACGAACAAGAATTTTAGGACGTTTCAAGGATGCGAAGAAGTCGTGGAAATAAAAAAAAACACCTGATGAAAAACACCAAAAAATAAAACACCAAAGAATATCAAAGAGCGGTGCATTTTTGTTTTTTCATCAAGTAATTTCGAGTCCTTGTTCATCTTTAAATCGGACTTCCTGGAAGGAAACGGCCGCAGATCGACTTTCCTGAAACGTTGACGAGCGGGAGACGCCGCTCCAAAACTGAATTACCGTAATTAGCGACCAATTACTCCGACATCCCCGAATCTAAGACGAAGAATGGTGCCTCCACCGGAATGGGAGGGTTCTCTCACCATTATACACATTATATTATACACCCGAACGAACGAATAAATAAAATCCCAGTTCGATAAAGTGTCGATGTCGTTCGCGTCGACGAAGCCTGCTCGTTCCCCGGTTACCGCGGTGGTTCTCGTTAAACCGGACTTTAACTCGGTGATGCCCAGGTTTCGCCTTCAACGCCTATTTCCGCTTCAAAATTCCGCTCGCGTTCGACGAAAACTGTTGCTTGAATTCGCGGGATCTCGCGTTCGCGGCGGAAAAAGTCGTCCTCGAGGAAGGCGTAGAGGCACTTTCCGGGAAATTTTCCGTCAGGGGAGGCTGAAAACTCACGTTTTGGCGTGTTGTGCAGGGGAAAGCTGCCGAACTCTTTGGGGAAGCCAGACAGAGCGCGAACCAGAGGGGTCTACTAGGGCTCTGCGTATCAGTTCTCCGTTTTTCCTCGGGTCACGCGATGACTCTGTCGACAGAACGTGGAAAACATGATACGTAAATAGGGTGAAAACGTGGAGACTTCCTCCCCGTCGACCTTATCGCGGTCACGGCCATTAGAACGCTACAATCCTTTCAATAACGCTTTAACCTACGTATATAGAGCACGAAACCCCGTGAATAGGCAGAGAAACAGAAACTGCAGACTCACCTGCACCGCGCGTCGTCTCGACGAGCAGAATCGAGAGCGACGAGGATCGCAGACTCGACAGGTGCTAATGCATCCACGGATCTGCCGCGAACGGCCTTGGTGCCTCCCGGATGCATCAGCTGGAGCGACTGGATGGAGGTGGAGGCGGGCCCGCCCGGCCGCGCGGTTCCTCCGGCCCGGGCGCGGAGGGCCTCGGCTGTCGGCCGATCGGCGATGCGGGATTCCCGCTTACGGCTCTATTCCACTCCGATGCTTTCCTCGGCAATAATACGTCGCGGATGAGAATCTATGATATCACTTGTCGGTGAGTTAAAATGTCGAGAATTTCTTTTTTAAAGGCGAATGATATACCCAGAAATGAAGCATGCAAATGCTTCCCTTTAAAAAATGAATGATCCCGAATGGCAACATCGAATTGAGAGGACTTACAGAAGGAAGAGGCTTCAGGGTCTCCCTTCGGATGAGGATCCATTCTCTTCTCAACCCGTCGCAGCTGGAAAGCGTGCATCCTTTCGAGTGCTTCTCTCTGATTGCCACCGCGACATTCCACTTTGCTGGCAGCGAATCGTGCGGATGGGCGAAGCTGGTTTAAGCCGCCGGTGGGGACATCTCCCGGCAGAAAAGAAAAACTTTTTCTGTCGTGTCTTTCTTCCTTGACGCGATGGCTCATCGTGGATCATCTGTCATTGATCTCGGAATAATCCCTTAGATCTGCACGGAAATAAATATACAGGGGTGACCGAAAAGTCAGGAACCCAAAAGATGCATTGGCGGGCATTCTACGTCTTGTGAACACCTACCATTCGCGATTATGTACACTTTTTTTTTTTTTTACAGGGCTTTGTGAACAGCTACCACTGAGCTTTCCAGCCAATGCCATGGGTGCCACAAAAGTGGAACTCGATTTAGGAAAAATGTTTTGGTCATGGCATGATTCCTTTTGGGTTGGGCGACATCTGGATCACCCTGTAGTACCAACTGTGCACTTTTTAAAGGAAGCTCGATCTCTAAATTGAGCAATCTTACTGAATTAGACGTGTGGATGAAAGATGGCAAGGCGAGAGGATATCTTCGTTCCCGAACTTGAATTCACTCCATCGTTATCCGGTACTTCCTGTGTACTTCCCTTTCGATACGCTCATGCTCCATTCTCTGTTCATTTTTCCTCGATGGATTCTCGTTGAAAACTTCACTGAAAGTCTCATTGCCCTGCGCTTTCCGCAGAGGCAAGCGAGCGAGGTATTCCAACTTCACGATCGACGCAATGGTCGAAGGGGGAAATGGGTCAAGGTCATTTCTGCAAGAATGTGAAAGCTGAACCCAGATGGGAAATCCACGATCCCTTTCAGAGGATTCCAGACGGCTCGTCTTCCCACGTCATCGCCACATGTGCATGTGACGATGACGTGGGAGCAACGACGGGTGGGCGACAATGCGACGAACGGAAACGAGAGCGACGAGGACTGCGTACGAGCGGCTCCAGCAGTCGCGAATCCCCCTGGTTCCGGGTTGTCGCGCGAGGGAAATAATCTAAACAGTACCACATCGCGTCGGCCTGAGCCTCACCATTGCAATGGATATTCCAGCCAGAGGCGAATAGACACACAGCCGTTATACCGCCATATTTTGCCCCCTCATCGTCACCTGTATTGGCCCATCAGCATCGCCTGCCAAACAAATAGGTGAGTGAGCTTTGAAAAAAATTTATTACTTCGTGTAACAGTTCACATTTTCACCTTCAACCAAATACTGTAAAATATCGGACACCACCAACGTTCCCATGATACTTTGTTTCGCCCATCAAAAACTAAAAAAAAAAAAGAAATGGAGATGTTTTCTTATTTTGCTCCTAGGGTGTTTACAAAGTCCTTTACAGAACGCCACCGTGCATTAAAACCCGTGCACCCGAGGTAGCGGGTTAAAAACACGGGCGATCGGTATCGGGTATAGTTGGGCTGAAACCTTCCCTTATATCATAGGTCCTTTCACTCATTAACCCCTTTACAGAAGCAGGACATATATACAAAATATCCTATGTGGAGATGATGAGATCATGCATGCATTGGTATGGCTTCTTATGAACTATTAGCACAGAGATTTTGCCCTAAAGATGTTCTGTGGACTTGGTTCCATGTGACTGTAGTTTAGATATTTATTTATTGTGTTTAGTCCTATGCCGTCCATTAAACTTAAGCTATATTGATAAATTTGAAAGATAAAATTTAAAGATATTGCTGGCTGCAGGTATTGTTTTTCGAAGTGAATGGTACTCTCTTTTGTAGTTATCTCAAGAACTTCTGGAGAGCCCAAAGTAAAATTTAACAGAGATAAAGTCACCTCTTAACACCGTGTTGATACGACGCGAAATGGCAAATGTAGCTTCCTCCGGCCCAGTGGGACTCGCTTTCGGCAAGTGGGGGATCGTTGTGTGGGAGAGTGAGTGGCATTACTCGGTTATTTATCGGTGACCATCGATGGCATCGACCAAAGTCTTGTTTTGTGCAAGGCGAAGTTTAGCCAACCCGAGAAGGCTGGGGCACATCGATCGCTGTTGGCCATCTGTTGGCAGCTTCGCGAATTATGCAGTCATGGCCGTCGGCGAGAACGAAATGGAGAGGGAAAGGCCATTTTGCGATTGCGTCTCTCTTCGCTCGTGGAGCGATTGCGTCCCACTTGTTTGAGTTTCTGTGTGACTTCCGCATGTGGTTGTGCTGCGGACCTGGTCCCGCCAGTGATGCATTTGTCTCACTATGGGTTCTATGAAAGGAATTTAATTGGAACTTTAGCCTAGATCTAGGATATCAGAGAGGAGGTCTGGTTAGCACTAACGTTAGAGCCTCATTCTAGATATTCGCAGGCAATCTCATGAAACTAGGACTAAGCGAGGATCCAGACAATTGTTGCTCTTCCGATCAGATAAGGGCCGATCATATGCAAATATTGGAATTGATGACAAGACCTAACGTTAAGGGAAACGTAACGTTCACGTAAGGGAAAAGTTAATTCGATATATCTAAGACGTGACTTGCTTAATAATTGTCTGATACGCAGAGATGATGGTTTAAACGTATTTTTGGCATCGAGAGTGCGAAAATTTTATTCGCCAGAGCCAAAATAGAAAAAGGCCATAATCTATTCTATCAGGATATTTAAGGGAATAACCAAAGAAAAAGTATGAAGAGGACGACTCCATGTGACTTAGGATCCCTTGTAGACTCACAAATCATAACCAAGTGAATAATTAAGAATTACAGTTCGAAGAGGTTGTGAAATATTACTTTTTTTCCAATGGGTGCCATGAAGCAAGGTAGGAGTTGCTGTTTGACATGAAGCAAACCATGGAAGAGTTGGGGGTGGGAAATATGAGCATTCCATGGATATTAACGATTACAATACATATCTGTCATGTGTTAAAAAAAATATTCTTAGCAGAGGTCAACAAAATTAGGGAGATTATCAATATTTACTCTCTGGAATTCAAGATTGAGTAGATAACAGAGTCAGTTGAAGAGAAGTTCGATGTTATGTGGAGATTTTCTTAGCTCTACTCTCAGTTCCACTGGAAAACATCAGATAAAAACACTGAAATAGAGTGTTTTTTCTCGGAAAAGTCTCGTGTTTAACCATATTGAGGAATTCATTCAGAAACAAAAAGCAAATATACTTTAGGAATAATATAACGCCAGACCATGATTCGTGACATTACATTTTGAATTTAAGGGAACCAGTTATTTAAAGAAAATTCCAATCCTTTACCGAAGGGTGAGAACAAACACCATAATACTTCCAACAAGGGCAGGATCAATACTTAAGTGATTCAGCTCAAAATGGCTATGCTCACAATGATCCACCTTGGATTATCTGAACACCATAATCTGAGTATTGGAGCAAAGTTTCAATTAGATCTGGCTAAATAGGACCTCAATTGTAGGGCAACTTATAAGAACATCCTTCATTGGTGGAAGGTGCATGGATAAGTTTCCTACCATTCTTTCTCATTGAAACTTTTCTAAATATGAATTACTTGAATTTAAGTAGAGAAATACATTTTAAATGAAATCGAAATTTCAGTTGAAATATGAATACCACTGAATTCGCCCAATTACTTCAAACGCTGCTTCGTCCACAACAAATTCAATGTTTTTGATGGAAATATTTGTGGGGGGTGGGGATGGTTTTAGGCCTGAAGTTTAACCTTCCAATAGTGGATTTCCTTTTCACTAAAGCCATAGTCAATATAGACCATAACATGAGATGATCTAATTAGGCCTATTTAGAAAAATGATTATCACTGGCCTGGATCTAACTTGCCATGGGAATTTGTCCAAATTAGGGTGCATCACTGACCTTTAACCTGGGGAATTGCATCATCCAGTCCTATTTTTTTTCATTCGGGGAGGACTCAAACGAAGAGTGGGATCAAGAGTGTCAAAATTGAAAGAAGCTGCTAACCAGAACTGATCAGACGTCAAAGGAGTCTTTAGTTTGTGCCATTTCTTCATATTCCATTATAGTGTGCACTCTTTGAAGATTGTCACACGTATTTGATAGGAAGCACAGAGGCTTTGATAATGTGATAGTTTACTATTTCATGCAGTAAAAAAGAAACAATTGAATATATTCTGTTCCGATATGGGTGCAAGTACGTGCAATGTGCCAATTGGTTACATTATGATCTCAATATATCAATGAAAATTCAATAGATTGTACAGTATAAAAAGTTACAAGATTCATAATTTAACAGGATTGCTTACTGCATGTTTTACACGTTATCCAAAGCCCAATGAATGAAGTGAATGAATATATATTTGAGGGAAACTTCATTTCTAATTGGGTAGAAATATATTATGAATTTATTTTACTGAAGCCCTCGTTCCTTAGAAAAAATTGAGAGGTCCGTCTCATGTTGGCCATATGTAGAAGCCTTGGGTAGAATGGCAGAGGGTCAATAAAAGAGAGTTGGAGGGAGTTTAGGGGGTTCCTACAAAAGTAGACTAAGTTTATTGAGATTTCTATATTTAACGAAATGAAATATGAGGGAGGTGTGTGGGTAATCCAAACTTTGGAATGGATGCCATGGGATGATGGAATGATATGATTGGGATGGAGTAAACTTCTGAGGAAATATTCAGTGTGGCCTTTTGGCAAAGAATGAAGCCACATTGGACCCAGGTAACAACTTCTGTTCTCCTGCATATATATTAAACTCCTGATTCACATAGAAGCCTTGGGTTGGCTCAAACTATGAAGTTAGATTGCATTTTTAGTTGAATTTGATTTCACATGTTTGCATTATCATTCCGAGGTAACTCTTCCGCTATGTAAAATAATGTGGAAAAAAAAAAAACATTTTCAAGGGTATCCATAACTCTTCAACCAAATTCACCCTATCCCAGGTTGGGTGAAAATCTCCTCTTCTCCTTCCATGGGATCCATGATACCGTTAGCCAGGCCTTAACTGATGAGTTGTATTAAATCAGGCCTAGGTCTATCTTTTTTCGTTCAGAT